GTCACAAGCTGGCAGAGGGTAGATTCAGACTAGACATCAGGAGGCGCTACTTCACTGTCAGGGTGGCTAGGATCTGGAACCAACTTCCAAGCGAAGTGGTGCTGGCTCCTACCCTGGGGGTCTTTAAGAGGAGGCTAGATGAACACCTTGCTGGGATCCTTTGACCCCAGTACTCTTTCCTGCCATGGCAGGGGCTGAGACTTGATGATCTGCTCAGGTCCCTTCCCTCAGCTTGTGGCCATTGTTCCTGGTGACTCCAAGGGGGGTCCTGGTGAACAGACTTTCCCCGAGTCCCTGCTGCTCGCCCCTGATAAGGTTGTAGGCAGCCACAAGATCCGCCCTCAGTCTCCTCTTGCGGAGACTGAAGAGATTCAGGTCCCTCAGCCTCTCCTCATAGGGCTGGCCATGGAGGCCCCCAGCCATACGAGTGGCCCTCCTCAGGACCCTTTCCAGGTTCTCCACGTCCTTCTTGAAGTGCGGCGCCCAGAACTGGACACAGTACTCCAGCTGCGGCCTGACCAGCGCCGCATAGAGGGGGAGCAAGACCTCTCTGGACCTGTTAGTGCTGCCCCTGTTGATGCATGACAGTGTGCAGCTGGCTCTGCCTGTTGCTTCGTTACATTGGCAACTCATATTCATCCTGAAGTCAATCCTGACTCCAAGATCTCTCTCTGCCTCTGTGCTGCCGAGAGGGTCAGCCCCTAACCTATAACCATAATGCTGGTTCCCTCTCCCCAGGTGCAGCACCCTGCACTTGTCCTTGTTGAACCGCATCCTGTTCAGGTCCTCCCACTTCTCTAACCTATCCAAGTCTGCCTGGATGTGGTCCCTGCCTCCCGGTGTATTCACTTTGCCCCACAGCTTGGTGTCATCAGCGAACTTGAACAGGGTGCTCTCCACACCCTTGTCCAGGTCGCTAATGAAGATATTGAACAGCACTGGCCCAAGGACTGAGCCCTGGGGGACTCCGCTGCCCACACCTTCCCAGGTCAACATCGACCTGCCCACCACCACCCTCTGGGTGCACACCTGGAGCCAGTTTGCCACCCATGTGACCATCCATTCGTCAATGCAGCAGTCCTTCAGCTTGCCCACCAGAATTGGGTGGGACAGTGTGTCGAAGGCCTTCTGGAAGTCCAAGAAGATGGACTTGTATGTTCAACTTCATTGGAGTTGAAGATCCAAGGCAACTATTTTCTGATCTGTCATGGAACAAATATTTGTGGATTGTCTTATTAGCATGAAAAGGTATGTGAACTCAATTTAATTTAAAATTAGTTAATTCAGCTTCTAATAGGACCACAAACATCAGTTGAAACAGGTTAGAAATTAGGAAAAGTACATGCCATGACATTCCTCTGTTTTGGAAGGTGTCACGTACAGGTTAGATGAACAGGTATTGTATATATTTAAGTTGAGCTATAATGGCTCTGTTTATTTCAGTCTACTTTCCATATCATCAGGTACACAAGGCAGAGGTTAGTCATTGCCAGCAATTCAGTCCTTAGGCTAGTTCTCTTAATCTGCACAAGTGATCACCTTACAGACTGATAGCTCCAGTCCTTACTGTGCTGAAAAGGGTCTGTGTGGGTCATGTTTTCTTCCATTTGCATTGGAGCTGCCAACACAGGGCTTATTTGGGAACCCTGTTATCAGCATACTGAGAATGTAGCCAAGGCAAATTCACTTTCTTGCCTGCACTCTTTGCATGCCTTTTGGCAGTTGTGACTGCTCCAAAATCTCAATATGCTTTACTCTGTCTGACCACTTTCTTCTGGATATCTCAGGCATCTACAGTGAAAGTTACTTATCTTCCCCTGGGTAGACTAGTGGTAGCATTGTGCTTAATACATCACAACTGAAGATTTGTAGCTTAGTACTTATGCTGGTTGTATTAGATTTCTAGACTGGGGGTTACTTCTGAAAAGAGTACTTGCCTTATCCACTTGAGCCATTATACTGAAAACAGAGTCATCGAAGTTATGAAAGGTGCTGCCCATGTAAGGAGAATCATCATCCCCCAGCTTGGCATAGCTCTACTGGCTAAAGCCCAAGTGTAAGCACAGCTATGCCAGCCGGAAATACTGTCTTGTCAACATATCTTTTATTATTTTGGGAACTGATATATAATGTATCATGCAAAGCACTCTTTTGCCAGTATAGCTATACTTACTATAGCTATACTGGCAAAACACAGCATGTTGCACCTATCCCAAAACCTGCAGAGTCCTGACCACAAGGCCTTCATGCAGAAAGTTCAGAAGTATTCTATGGGATCAGGAGGAGGAATATACTACAGATTTTTCTTCCTTGTGCATCTGGATTTTAAATAATATATTTTTTACTTTCTTTGTTCTGTACTGCATGGCTGAAAGAAGTGTTTGTGCCTTTGCCAAGTATTTGGCATATCATCCTGCAGGACACAACTTGTCATGTCCAGAGACAGTGTTTGAAATGGCCATAATGTGGGTCCTATGTAGTCCTGAAGCTAGCGGTTCTCAACTTTTTCAGATTCAAGACACCCCTCAGAAGATGCCAGCTCTTACTTTTCTGTAGTCAAAATATAAGTGTAAACTAATAGAGCAATTATCCTGTTTCAGAGAGCTCACAAAGATCACAGGAGGTGAGAATAGTTTTGACACAGCGGATTCTTATTTGCAATCTCTCAGTTTATTCTGTCAATCGTGTAGGTGTTTACATACCTACCAGTGCTAATACTATGTGGCATCTTTGGAAGGATCTCACAGAACTCTAGGGTGCTGTGGCATCCTGGTTGAGAATCACTGCCTGAAGTGAATGAGTTTATGCTTTACATCAGGGTCTTCCAATTTTTGGTGCACTGTAGTATAGCAAATCAGAAAATTTTCCACAGATTCAGGTAAGTTTTAAAATCTGGAGAACCACAGTGGATAACTACAAACATAAGCAATATTACCATTTCAATGTTAAGTTGGGATTAACTCAAAATAAATGTTAATGCTGTTCCCAAATATTTAGTGTGGCAATTTGTTTGTGTTTTTATATATAGATAGGCTTTAAGGGGAAAAGCTGGAGTCAGATAACTGGATAAAGTACTACTGAAGTTTGTCCCAAAGATGTATGGAAAATGTCTGGAGTGAGGGTGTCCTCTTTTGTTTTCAGCAAAGTTAGCAAGCAGCATAAAATTTTTGAGGGTAAAGTATGTATTGGCAGCAATAGGTAAGCATGTTTATGCTCACATTATCTGCGAGTTGCGTGCTTTGCAGAAGTGTGTTATCCAAGCAAAAGCATCAAATTGACAAAGTATAAAACAAGTTTTACTATATGCCCTTTCCAGTTGCTAAATTCTCCTAAGGTTGCTTATTCTTCTGATGACAAACCAAACTTAAACAATGCTTCATCTGAATGCCAAAAGGATTTAGAAACACTTGAATATTAAAATTAAAATATAATAAGTATCTATATTCCTTTATATCCTAAATAAATTGTTCCTAACTTAATGTGGCAAACTGGCCCACTAGTATTATTGTGGAAGTGGTATTAAACTGAAATGGGGAAAGGGAAAATAATCAGCATAAAATACCTAAAGCGACCATATGTTTCATTGATCTTTTTTTTTCTTTCTTTCTTTTCTTTAAATTAAGCTAGACCATGTTTTAAAGTGAAAACTGTCTTAATGAACCATAGAATAGTGCATGAATTTGCTTACTCAAAGCTTTGTTTTCCAGAACTTCAGTGGCAGCAAATTATTTTAAATCATAAACGAATCATATTTAGAAAGTGGATCAAGCCAGTGATCCCAGGAGTGGACCCAGAAGCTGCATGTGTACTTATTTACCACTAAGAGGAGATGTGAATTATGCTTTCTTATGGTCATCTGCTTCCCTGTTCTCAATAGGCTTCATTGTGCTACATAGATAAACCCTAAATGACGTATAGCAACAAACAGGGTGGAAGAATAGGAAGGACAGGAACTACAGGAATAAAACTGAGGATGCCTAGGCTGGTGACCTATGTAGCTTAGGAAGTTTCTGTAGAAATTCC